TCTTTATGAAGGCCTTTTCAATGGCAATCCGCCATTTTACCCATGAAAACTTCCTCAGAACTTAGTTCACCTACTTTCCCTTAATTCCATTGCGATGTGCGCCAACAGAAAATCGCGGAGAGGCCGTCATTACTGTATTTGAGTGAAATACGACGTCACGCGGCTGCTACGCTTCGTAGCACGTTTTCCTCAAAACTGTATGACTATCAGTGGCAATTTCTTGATTACGCTAGGCTGATAAAACACTTTAGACCCTTTTCTGCCAGACGGAGGCAGATAAAAGAACAACCTTTTTCGCTGAGCAAGAATTTCTCACAGAAGCATTAGTTTATTCGAAAACTTGAATCTCTGACTACCTCGCTACGTGCCCGCCCTTTTTTTCAGATGGGCTTTTAGCGCTGTGGTCCTCAGATTAAAATATGTTTTACATTTGAAAAAGTTTTTTTTTGTGCGCGTGAATGCTAGATAAAAGTTATACTATTATTTCTCATCAGTTGGATAACATAATATACCCAGTGATGTAGAGTGATGTGCAAAACTTTCGCATCAGGCAAAACTCAAACCCAAATCTCACTCTGTCCGGGGAAGTTTCGCACATCACTCAACATCATTGGGTATATCTATGAAACTTGCCACAGCTAAATCAGTTATATAAAACAATTTGGATAAGATAATATTTGCAGAAATACAGAAGAGTCTTTTACAGCAGAATGATGTAGATAGTATAAAACCATAACAATCTTTGTTTATGTGTAATTTCTCACTTTGACTGTTTTCCTCTTAGTGTCCCAATCATACATCGGTCACTTCAACACTGATGTGTTTATACTTCATTAGTTTTCTCAACCATAGATATAGGCTCGATTTAATAATCAATCGAAATCCATTCATTTGACCGCCTCTTGCAGTGGTATGATCTTATAATTACCCAATAATGTAGAATCTGTGCAAGAACATTCATGCTGAATTTTCGTTAAGCACATTTACAAAATCTGAATCTTTTAAGGAAGAAGCTATTAGTCCCAGAAGTGTTACAAAGTTAAAATTCATCACCGTTCGCGTTTACAGGACATCCACTTATCGTATCGGTATCGTTGAAGTAGTCGATGGGGATCTTTCCTTATATAAGTACGCCAATCCGTAAGTTCAAGCTTTTCATACTCTCGTTTTTCTTTTTTCTTATTAACAATCTATGTCAGAATTCCCGGAATAAGTTAAGCTTTGTGAAGTCTTCAGATATACACCTAGCATAATATCAGACGAAATTATCTCCGAAAATAAGAGTGAACTTTCTGGAAAACTAACTTTCATTGTGATTCAACTTAACCTTGTCAAATCGAGCACCGTGATTCTTTGTTAAGTAGCTTGACCGTAGTCACAAAATCTCTGAACTTTGTGTTTTTCCATACTCAGGGTGTTAATTTCAGTGCTGTCATAGAATATCAAAATTTCTATTACAAGTTCTTGATCGAATGCTGATTTTAACTGGTTTTTGTTTTTTAAAACTCAAAACTCTAATATTATTCATTTCGTTCAGCACAAATGCGCAGTTTACACTGATTGATCTACGCATTTGTGGACTCTTTCTTTAGCGGAAATGATACATTTTTTATCATCATCAAGTCATTTCAGAAAGTGTCCGATGTTACTGTTTGGTTCATAGCTACGAATCTCGAGTTTTAACTAGCACGAAGCACCGTAAACTTAGTTGTCCTCATCGCAATGTAGGTGTACATTTTCTGGATACTCATAACAGCAACCGAACAGTACGGAAACTCTAAAAAATAAAAGCGTTCTAGAATTTGCAGGACTGATAGTAATCAAGTGAATTTAGGTGTTTTTTTCGACGCCACTGTGTCGTTGCTCAATTCTTGAAGGAATTCAAAGACTTTGACTACGTTCTATACATAGACGCTGATATGGGGGTAGTGAATCCGAAGAGGTAAGTTGCCAAGTCAGAAATCTCAAGTACTTGATGAAAAGTCTGGAAAACGCTTGCCATACACGTTTGACTAACACATTGTCGCCTTTCAAACTTTATTTGTGAATGATCATGGCGTTTATCGCTTCGAAAAAAGTGGAAGATTTGGAAGAAGTGATTTTCTTGATTTTGTGGAAAACTCGTTTTGACTCACCTGGGTATGCAAATAGTCTTCTTAAGATAGAGAATCACTCTTCTATGAGCCACGATATGAATTCTTTAGGCGAATCGAAGAATTTCTTGATCCAAAAGCGGAAATAATATTCTATGATCGTTATAACAACTGGGAGGTAGCGGCTGGATCATACCTAGTAAGAAACTCAAACTGGTCACGAACATTTCTTCAGGGAAAGTTTTCTCTTTCCATATCCATGATACTGAAGTCAATTTGTGCGCTGTTATTTGATAAGTTCACGATTATATGCCATGACGTTTTAGGTTTCGCAGACTACGAGTTTCGGCTGCCAAGAAGTTTCCATGGACACGACAATGGCGCTCTTCACGTAAGAAATTCGATCCAATTTTCTTTCACCTTAGTGAGTTCTCTCTAGTAGAGCTTTCCCGAATGCCGAATGCATTCATGGAGGAGCAATCCGGCCTTACTACATTGCCGTCGCTGAATGAATTCTTGTAGTGCTAGCTGTAGTGCCTCTCTTTTTTTGAGAAAAAAAATCTACGTTTTGGTAAAAGGCCAACGAGTTGGCGAGTTTTTTTCGCTTGCCCTGAAAATCTTTCATAAACGGTATGGGTCAGTGAGGTTTGAGAAGAAGACAATCTACACTATTGTCTTTAGCATATTTGAAAATAGTTCAATAATGAGATTGATGGAATCAAGCAGATGTCGTGTTTTGTAGGACCACCTATATTCTGTCGCATGTCGTCTGAATAAAATTCTAGACGAATAAAAATGTCAAACCTTTACTTTGAACTGTTTGGAAACAGCTTTTTAGGGAGCGCTCACGTCCTTTCTTCACAGGTCTTCCAACTGTTGATGTAGGCCAAGGAAAGAGCTTACGTAGGTGAGGAAAGAGTTTGTCCGTGGTCACACAATCAGTTCGCTACAAAATGATTTCACGTGTGTCAAAAAAGCACTCCTGCGAGCTCTATCTTCGAATCAGTAGAATCCCATCCAAAATCCTTCAGGAGCCTTGCACGGCGATGTGTCAGGATATCGGGCAAGCACAGTATTTCAAAACTTTTTCTGCTATCTCTTGGCTTTGTATATGGCTCAGTGGGCTATTTCGTTAATGTTTCCTATGTAAGTTTCTACTCCTGGAAAATCACCTTGAGCCCTCCCGAGATTATTAGTCACACAGGTTGCGAATATTATTAATTATCACTCGAAGTTATCAGATGCTTTAAGAAGCATTTAGAATTGCTGATAACAGAGGAGTCATATAACTATGAAGAGTAAGACCACAAGCCGAGGATCACGTGCCTCCGGCTATGAATTTTGATCACAAACGCAACTGACGTTGGTAACTAGTTTTTCGTGCACGCGAGATTGACAATAATAAATTGGGGAAAAAGTTCTGAGAAATATTGTAACTTTTTTGACCGTCTTCCATTTTTTGTGTTTTTAGGCTCATTTGAAAGCCCGTCTTCTCCCGTGATGATCGGAGTATAATTTACCTATTTATTTAAGAATGACTTAGCAAGAGACAGATTAGGTTGTTGATGATGCACGAACGGCTGTTGGGTTCGAATGCAACGGTGGCAAGTGCACGTATCAATCTGGATTGGGTCGAAGACACAGTTGGCAAAAGTACGGTGTACATGTGGTTCAAAAAGTTTGACGGAGGTGAAGAAAATTTGGAAGATCAGCCGCGTTCAGGTCGTTCAATAGAAGTTGATCGTCAAGTTGTGCTTGAAGCGATTGAAGAAATTGCTCTTTGATAATTCGGTCATTCATTTCTTCAAAAGCAAAAAATCAGAATTTTATGCTCGCGATATCGATCTTCTGCCGGAGAAGTGGCAAGAAGTGGTGGAAGTTAAAGGGGAGTATTTTGGCTGATAGGTTTGTCCTTGTTAGAGTGTAATAGATGCATAAATAAATGTTTCACAAGCATTTTCTCAGAACTTTTTCGCCAGCCTATAACAGTTCCCGGCCAACATTTTGATGTTTTCGTCTTCCTCAGAATTGATTGTTCGAGTCGATTGCACTCAATCGTTTGCACAAATGTGGTGATCTTTGTGATCGTTACTAGTTTGGCTTTGAAGTCAACACACGTCATTGTTAATATAATATTGTTGATTCAAACTGGCTAACGTTTTGGCGATTATCGCCGTTATCAGTGCCTGAAAGTTGTAATGTTTAGTCAGCCACATATTCCTCATAGCCAGAAAACAAAGCTGCGCAGGATTGATTTAAAGAAAAAGCCACGCTTCAAACGGTGGACCTGAAGAATAGTATAAGGTCCCGTCCAGGTTATGTCAATTATAGTGGTACAGCGACTGAACACTTGTTCTGGATATTCGTATGGTTGTATTTAAGCACGAAGCACTCAACGTTACAGTCGCATACCTGGCCGTCTATGCACAAAGCAAATGTGCATGATTTGTGCGAAGGCTTTGAAATCAGAAATGAATGTCACACCCTCGCACAAGAACCTGAAACATCAATCATAAAATTTATGAGAGATTTTCAAAAGACTCCAGAATTCCTCTCAAGAATAATGCGAAAATTGAATTGAATGCTAAATGTATTAGGATCAGCACAATGAAAAAAGAAACACTTTGAGGACGGATCAATAAAGTGAAAAAAAGCATCTATCTTTGCGCCTATGACAACACATTACTTTCAAAGCTATTCGGTAAGGTGTCGTCTTGGTAGCGTGAGAATCTCATCTTTTTTTCTTTTTGAACTGGTTACCAGTCATAGTGAGAATTTTATATTGCTCACATGCATGCATGAGTTCCGTTACAGTTTGACGATTAGTGTCTTCTCTTCTCATCGTCTGACGGATTTCAAACTCTCTATAATAATACTCAATAATGTAGAGTGCTGTGCAACAACATTTGCGTCAGCCTGGATTCGAACCGAGATCTCATTCTTTCCGGGACCGTGTGCTGAACCGTTGCACTCCCGACGCTCCTTTTGCACAACACTATACGCTACAACGCGTGATCCGTCATCAGTCACCGCCGACGGTTTTGGCGGAGCAGCCGCTGTCGGCACTGAACCCATTTATGCTGTAAGATATTGTGTATCAATGATCAATCGGAATTCATTTATTTGACCGCCTATTGCGGTGGTATGATCTTATAATATCTCGTAATCCTAACAAAAAGAAAGGCATAAGGAGTTCATAAACGCTACAGTAAAGAAGCAAACAAATGTGAGTAGGAGAAAGAGTCACTGCCTCTCGAACGGTCCAGCTTACTCTTTTGTTGCACCAGATCCAACCTTACTGGCTCACCTCAGAATAATCTTTTCTGGTCGAGTAAATCGAAACTCATAATGGATGATTGCAAAGATGGATTTAGAATTTATTTAAAAAATCAATTTTAGAACGAGACACGAAAGATCAGCACATTTCAGGCGTACCTGGCTGAGTGGATTTTACCAAAAACAATGTGGTATTGCCAGTTTGCCTTCGGATTTACAACAATTCACAGAAATTATTCCGATCTCTACGTGTACGAAGCCTGCATTCGAAATGCGCTAGGAAACGGCACTACATTTGGGAAAATTAAAATTCTTCCGAAGGTACTCACATCTTTGCTCTTTTCTTAGAATTTTTAGCCTGTTTGCTTTCCTTCGATATGTCATATGCAGATAACACAGAAATATCTCCAATTAAGGACTTATTCATATAAAAGAAATTAACTAATAAAATGGGACTCTATATTGCAGAATGAGTACAATCAATTTCTCACACCGCTTCAAGCATGTGCAGCGCAAAATGATTCCATAGTTTAAATTGCAGTTATTTATTTGAGGGCAAAAATTTTCTTAAATTTTGTCGGTACGTGCCTCTTTCTTTACTGGGTTAGATTTTTCTTCTTCATCTTGGAAACAGTTTGCAAAGGAGAGTTGAAAATATGTTAATCCCCAAAGGATGTCGTTTTCCTACTGAAAAGTGCCTGTCAAAAGGACGCATGGGAGTTAGTCTTACCAGAAATATTTAAAGAAACTTTTCACAACACGCTACTTTTCGCGAGATGAAATCTTCGGATCGTGTAAATATCGTTGTACAACAGCCAAGAAATCTCGCTGTGAAGATCAGACAACAAGCTTATTGCCCCAAGAGCGAGGCGCGTTCTTTTCCTCGTTGGTACAGCGAACTCTGACGGCTTCATCAAAGACTGGCCCGAATGTTTGAATCTGCATTCGTACAGATATCAAATGTGAAACAGCAGGTAGTACTAGTTTTTATCTGTACAAATCACAAATTTGGCGATTTGCGATAGTTATTCACCGGTACTAATGTTCGAACCAAGGTGATTTGTACGTTACTAATGTTGTTCTACAGAATGTTGATTGGTGAGTCTTAGAGTAGAACATCACAACAAAAATAAAGAGATTGAGAAAGTTGGTGTGAAAAATTGCATTTTTGCCGATAAAGTAGTCCACGTTCCACAAAATGATGAGTACCAAATTTATCATGGTTTACCTCAACTATAGACTAAGAAATCTTCTTATCAATTTCTCGTGAAATATATATATATATATATATATATATATAGTAGAACATGTATTTTCGAACCAAACCATTACGATATCGTCGAAGAAATATCAGAAAAGAGCTGGAAATGCGTTGCTATCCAATGACGCAGTGTCAATAATGAAAAATAAAAACTTTTAGGATAACTGGGCGTTCTTTTTTGCCACAAAATCCCTCTAGGAAATTCCCTCTGGTGATAATTTTTTTATAACAACTAGGCTTCTTTGGATTCAAAATTTTTCATAATGTGACTGCCAATACAACCTTCTTCATAGTTCAAATAACGAGTTAATACACCAAAGCAAAACGCTTTCTTTTATAGTAGAGTATGGTACGGAGTTTTCTCCTCAAATTAGCCTAGTTTCAAAATCGACATTTTTCAGCTATTAAATGACTACAAAACATAAATGAAATGAGAAAAAAGTGCTCGTGAGTAGCTTGGATTGACTTCCTTTTGACAGGAAGTGTTTCTTTCATGGAACATATGTAATGTTATGACACGTTTCGCTACTTTTTACTGAAGTTACCTTTATGAAGTTCTTTTTGTGGTATTTCATCTATTGGTGACTTTGCATATAAATTCTGACTATACGTATCAATAGACCCGTTATGGAGCTCAAGCAATGAGCAGCTACTTCGAGCGCAGAACGTAATCTTCTGTGCGCTCTTACAGCGCTCCATATAAACTATTCTGAAAAGTAGTCACAGTTTCTAGAATTGTCGAAAAATGAGATATTGATTGGCAGTTGGAAGTTTAGCGGTAAGCTATTCACAAACCTCAACCGAGAAAAACGAACTGAACTCTGTGTGAAACATAATTATGTTTAGTCTTCATAACGCAAGAAGAAGAGATTTCGAAAAAAAGACCATAGTATCAGATGGTCTAGATTTAAGCCCAAAGAAAGTCCGAAAAAAATTCTTGTTTGCCGAGAAAATCTCTTTTCTGGAGAGAAACACTTCCACCCTCTGCTGTACATTTATAATTCCTGTCTAGCAATGATGCAACTCGAAAACACATATTTTACGACATAGACTTCCTGGAAAAGCTTATGAAGGACTTTTTTCATACTGATAGAGAATGTGTAGATAGCAAGCAAATTTCTCATAGTTTAGGTCGTCTTGGTGGAAAAATGAACCTGACTCGTACTTTGCATCTTACTCTTGCAAACTTTTACTTGAAGGTTCAATTAGTAATCACAATGTATACACTTACTTTCGATCCACAACAAATTGTTTTTGCACAAACAGCACCGCCTAACATTTTTGAAGATTTTGAATAGGTTTGCAAAACGCACTTTCGACATATCAACGAATGTTTTCATCTGTCTCAATTCGATGTTTACCTGTTCAGCAATCAATTTGCAAAGGCAGGTCATAAATGGCTCATAGAAGTCGATTGGCTCCTTATCCCTGAGCATTACGTTGCCTAGCTGCCCATCGAGGAGCAAGGTTCTAAACGACAGCACATTATATGAGCACTTGTTGATTAGTGTCTGAGTCAATTCCCATAAAGCCAACATCTGTGGTGAGTACAGCTCTCCATGATGCCTCCGACTTCGCCACCAAACTCTTATAAACTCTTGTTCAGCAGGCAATCGAGCAAGATCTTGGCCCTTTTAGGACCACGCGTATCACGCATGGTACACGCGCATTTCGTGATTTTCTCGTCGACCACTGATTTTTCACGAGACACTTGGCACCTATTCGATGGCTGAAAAAATTGTGGTTCTGATAATATGCCCGAACTTTGAAATCACCTTTCCAGTGAGCTGTAGCAGTAAAATCTACGTTTTTTTTTGAGTTTGCAGTGTGTTTTGCACTCCTGCTTCCATAGCTTTTCCACCGGACCAAATTTTATCACTAAATCTCTAATAGTTATTCGATAGCTTGAAAATTGTCGATTCCAAAGGCGAACTTAGCTTTTGAATTTGAGTCTAAATGTAGGTTTTTAATATGATGTAATAAGGCGATCAATAGCTACGGTTCGCTTTCGGAGTGGTTTATGCGCTTCGCTATAGTTTATGCTTGGCTTTACAGCAGAATTTTGGTAGTTATTCGATAGCTCGAAAAGTGTTTAATTTCATGACTAATTTCATTTCTGAATTGAATTTTTAGTCCGCTGTAGCAAGGAAATTTTTCACTTATCACACCTATGTAATTAACTCGTCGCTTGAACTTTACAGTGGGTGTATTGCCTTTTGTATAGTAATTTTCGAACACTGAAAACAATTTTGATTACGAGAAACGATAGTTACAGGAGGCTATCTGTAAAGGTCTGTTTTACTAGAAAAAAAGAACATCCACGTGTTCTGAAAATCCCATTCTTCAATAGGGAGATCACATTTATGTGTAAACGTCGCATCTTCACTTCCCATTTCTTATTTTCTTACTATATGTAAAAATGCAATCCGAAATCACTTCTTCTTCAATGTGTGGCTCTCTCCGAGAAGTCAATGTTTGGCTTTTGATACGCAGTCGGAATAAGCCTTGATAGAGCCCATAATCATCAATTTTTACGTTTCGTTTCCTTTTGTTTCTCTAACTACAAAGCGTTTTTTTTTTCCTTTTTTCACGTTTCGTTATCTATGCCTGGAACTGCATGCACTGTGTAACATATTATCTGACAAACTATATAATTTTTTCCAATTTCCAGTCGCTATCATAGCTTTTAAGCATTGTATATGATAAAATATGGAGAACTGATAGAATTTTACCATTACATTTTTTGTGCAAGTGATACAATCAGCGTAATGCCAACGTCACTATGATTGCGTAGTGAAGCAGAGTTTGCTCAGATGTGAACGTTATATCTTTACCAAAGACATACGAGTGGGTAGAGAAAATCGCAAACTGTCCTAAAATCATGAGAAACCCTAGATTTGTTTCAGAAACGGTGAGAAAACCCGATTAAATGACTAAGATGGCGCACAGGCTACAATTTGCACTGAGTGTGGCAATTACAACCTTCGGTGCTGAAAGGGTTAAATTTTTAAATGGAAGCACGACGAGACTTTTTATCTAGAATATCTACTTACATCTTCTGCATGGGATTTCTGCGAAGAGCAGCTTGTAATTGATGTGAAATTACCATATTTTGCGGAAGTGATATTTGGATTTGTTACGAAAAGGTGCTTGTCAAGTGCGAAACGTGATCTAACCTTCGCAACCATAGCACTCCAAGACGGTTTTTTTGAAAAACAAATTTCAATCGAGTATAGTCTGTGAGACTAGTCAAAGTTTTCCGAGGTTGATAGGTGAGTGGCTTATGTACGTTTCGGCGGTATCGCCCGCTTCATGAGAATCACACGCCTCACACTGAAAATTATTTTATAACACTGATGGAAAATATGTTAGGGTGATAGCATGTAGTATTGTGCTATCACCACCAATCGATGCATAACGGCTGGTAGCGAATACGTAGAGGCTGAAAAATAGTCGATTAGATGAATGTCTACATCTTCACTACCAGCCATCGACTGAAAAGCGTCTTAATAGCACAATATCACTTGCTATCACCATGATATCACCCTATCAGTGTTATGAAATAAACTTCAGTGCGGAGCGTGTGACTCTGATGAAATGGACGATACCACCAAAACGTGCATAAGCCACTGACGTACCAATTACGAAAAATCTTTGAATAATATGACAGACTATACGGGGTGCGCAAACACGATAATCTCTCAAATATTTCAACGGTGAGGAAGTAGTGCAGAAATGAATAAATTTATTTAACTGAAGGAACAATGACGTTTTTTAGATCAACAATTACAATAAAAAAAAACAGAAAAGTTTATAATAAATCTACTAAAGTGCCCTCTTTGGTCCCTGTATATCTGTGAAGTCGATTGCAAAATTTTTAGCGATGCTTCACATATTTCCATCGTGATTTAATTACAAGAGCGTACGAAAGCCGTTCTGAGCGCATATACGCTATCATGACGGCTAGCTGGGACTTTTTTCTAGTATTAAACCACAAGGAGTGATCTGTTGAGTTGAAAACTGGCGAGTTTAACAGTTAGATGAATCCTTGTCTCAGAAGTCTGGAAACAGCTCTTAGCACAAGGCAATCGCTGAGTGGGCGAAATGCTCATGACATCAGTGCTACTCAAACGTAAATCCGTTGGCGCTGAAGTATTGAGTATTCGAAGATTACAGTGCGCGCCGTACGACTTGGTGCTGATAGCTTGCAGCGTTGAATTTGCCGTTTCCGTTGATGAAGAGCAACGCGCCTTTCCGATGGTGTAAATGCCGGTTCAGATGGTCACAGTAGCCGCAAAATCGTTGCGGCCCATAGTTCTACTGTGGACTTCTGTTGACTTCAAAAATTGACGTCAATTCTGGTGACTGTGGTTCAAGCGTGTATAACTTCTCATCCATGCTCATCGACAAACGACCAACAGCTGTCAAAATCATTCACCTAACCTTTGAAATCCACTTTCTTTCATCTTTTTGTCCAGAAAATGAGCACGAGCAATCTTATAACTGAACTGCTTCAGCCTTTTCAAAAAATGTTGCGGACGCTCGGCTCGCAGATCCCGAGCTTCTTGAGCCATTTTGCTCATCGAACGCTCCGGATTTCGATGAACTTAGCAGCGGATCATATTATGTTTTCCAAAGTAGATGAGGTGGTTGGACAACCTTTTCGAGGACATCCCATAATCCCTCCAGCTTTCTGAAACTTTCTACGGCCCAGTAGACACTTGCTGATTTGAAATCACTCAATTTTAACGATGTCGTCTGTTTTCGTTCCCGTCTTGTGCAACTCAACTACTAAGGTCAGTTGATTTTTACGATTGAAAAACTGAGCGCAGTAGAATTATCAGCTTCAATAAAAATGTTATATCAACGCTAAAATTAAAAGTACAAAACTATCAAACCTTTGTGCACCCTGTATTGAATGTTTACAGCGAGATTTGAAAATAGTGCATAAGATGATGTTTATATGGTATTGAAGTTTGCGAGATTTAAGCTATTGAATGATTACTAGAAGAAGTGGAAAATTTTGGATCGGGTCTATTCCTCAGAAGGCATGAAAATTGCCTTCCCTAAAACAGAATTCAAACGGATTTATTGACTCTATATTCGAATGGAAAGGAGAGTTTTGTTTTTAGTGAAAGCGTGGTTTATAACTAGAAAGTCAAAGGTTTTTTTGTGCATGAGAATGAAGTGTTTTTTTTCAGGGCAAGGGATGGGTTCGTGACAGCTGGATGACAAATAGTAAGTGGAACGAGGAGCGTGACTTCATGATTCATAATTGGAAAACTAAGCAGTTGCAAAACTATTCCAAAACTCCAATTTCGTATGTTATTTTGTAAATTCCTGCTATAATCTTTCAAAAACTGCACTATTATTTCTAATGTCTGAGACTTTTTCAAAGTAAAGAGGGTTTGTCTAGAACTGGTTCAAAAAAGTTTACAATGAATTGAATGTACTCATATCAATAAGCTTCCGGTTCAGACTATTTCCAAATTCAACTGCGAGGTGGTACAACCCCATTGCTGGACATCTTGATCTTCACCTTTGCAAGCCAGGGTGAGCGCTATCAATTTTGCTCAGGATAGTTGTTAGTGGCTTAAAAAACAATGTGTTGGATGAATGACGATAATCCGCCTCAGCATCAGTTTTTCATCGGGACTCAATTTTTCAACATTTTTGAAGGCGTTCTTATCTTTCCAAACTCTTGATGGTTTTTGATAGTTAAATATCGGCAATTTCAGTAGTGTAGTTTTTTTAAACGGGTTCATAGAATGTTGTACCTCAGAAAATAAGACCACACTTGACATTCGACCTTGCTTTTTGCTTGGTTACGGTCTGTGGATGCTTTTCAAAAAGACTTTAGGCAGTTATTCTATAACATAAAGTTTGATAACTCGAAGTTACCTTCAATTTTTGAAAAGCTTCACATAGAGCGCTAGAGCAAAAAAAAGACTATGTCTTTCACTTTCAGGCTTAGGCCTACCTTCATAGCAAGGTAATTTGGCAATATGGAATAAATTCAAAGGGCTACAACTTATACGACAATAAAACAAAGTTTTTTAAATAATTCTAATACAAAAAGCTTAGGAGAGTTCACAGAGGAATTTGTGCTCTTGAGGCGACATAGAGATCGCTGTGAGCAACCCGCAGAGCGAATCAAAAGGCGCACGATAATGCGCGCCAAAGGTGAACGTAATCTTATTTTCGCTGTTACATTGTACCAAATTCTTACCAGAAGAGAAGCAAATTTCGATATTGCGTAAATTTCAAGCTATCTAATGTTTGATGGAGGTTAAACCCAATAATGTAGATGAGTGTGCAAAAACATTTGCGTCAGCTGGGATTCGAACCCAGATTCCACTCTGAAAAAAAAAACGGGTGTCGGTAGTGCAACGACTTAGCACGCTCCCGTAGAGTGAGATCTGGGTTCGAATCCCAGCTGACGCGAGTGTTTTTGCACACAGCTCTACATTATTGGGTTTAATGAAATAGCATACCACAGTAATACGCGGTCGAATAAAATGATTTTTGATTTATTGGGGTTTAGAGGAAAAGAGTATAAGATTTTGCCCATGATGGGTTGAAAAAAAAGTGTTCTAATAACGGAATATTACCCCTTAATCTTTATGAGGGGATTAGAAATGAGTTTTTTGCTGCATACAGGGATATTACTAAGGAAAATAATTGGGACTATATTCAAATGATGTTCTGTCTTAAAACCTTCATTACCCAAGACCGCAGGTTAAGTACAAGTTCATTGAACTCGTGAAGACAACAAAGCACCACTCAATAAACGGCTCTAAGCAGAAAACTAATGAAATAGTTGACGGTGTTGGTGGCCAAACAACGCAAGCTTAGTCATGAGGGGTGTGGTGTGGTGCAGTGCTCCTCTAACTACTGTTCATCCACTCGCGCTCCTTTGAGACAGAATGATATTGGAACGCAGAGCTCATCTCTCAAAAGGTGAGTAAGGATCAAATCCTAATATTTTGATTGCGTTTTCAGCAGCGTTATGATGTTACATATATACCTCAGAAAATTGAAAGATGAGGAAAAGCACGCCATCAGACGGGAGTCGAATCCGCTTTTCATCCGATGGTTAACATAGAGATGTTGAAGAATGAGTGGTGGCGAAATGTGCCTTGGTGGTGTAATGGTAGTAGCACTTATCCCCGGCATGGGTGAAACGCGGGTTCGATTCTCGCCTGAGGCCGTGTTTCGCTCACCACTCAATTCTCTTAGGTATATTTGAGCAAGGATGAGCAAACGATACTCTACTTTCTAGACTAATTGCAATGTATCAAAAAGATAATTATACGTGTGTACCATGTGCTCCAAATGTAAACATTTCAGGAACACATCATGGAAATACGACCCAAACTTGATTGCTACTCGTAAGGAAATAGACGATCGACTGCAGCAGTATATTAAATTTGTTGACTTCAAAAGACAACAAGCCGATCTCAAACTAAAACAGTATCTCAAGATTTCCTCAAAATAAAGATTTAGAGACGATAACTGATTTTTTTTCTATGAAAGGTTCTAGCACGATTTGAGGCTAGTAGAAAAGCACCTAAGTAAGGAACGATGATGTTCAATCCTTGTGGAATTTGTCAGAAATAAATGACAAATAAAACAAGGGTTTACTTAAGATAATGCAAAGGTAGCACAGATCTGACCCGAAAAACGCAAATATGAACAGAAACTTTTGTTCCGCTTCTCGCAGTTCTCTAAATCTTATTTAAGTCTTATTTAAACCATCTAGAAATGAAAAAGGGAATGATTGAAGAAAGGGAAATGGCACTTTATACCTGAACACCAGAATACGCTAGAATCAAGCTAATCGAATGATTCAGTCTTCGAAAATTCTTGAAAACCAAATTTGTCAATCTGAAGTAATTAAGGTTGCTTAACAACGCTACTCAAAGTATGTGCCATCAGCCTGAACACATTCCTGCTATCTCTCAGGAAACAAATCATTACCGCTGTCATAGAACTTGCAATTCTCGAATTCAAAGAAATTTGTCAATCCTCACGCTAATGACCGATGTTTCAAGAATTCTTCTTGCTCAGAAAATGCTCCAGTGATCCGAAGAGGAGACAATTAGACGCCCACAAGTCGGGACGTACGGCGCATGATTTAGCAACGCCCAGTCCATTGGTCAACTCACTCGTCGTCAATTTGCCAACATGCAGCTTCGCGTTGCCTTGAAGCAGGATGAGATTGCAGCGATGTCTGCGTGACATCGCCTGATTCCAGCTGTCCAGTGCTTACAGAAACGTTTGGCGTTGATGGTCTCTCAGGCAAGCAGCAGGTTACAGTGAATTGGCTCGGTCCGGTCCCAAGAGATGATGAGAATAGCCTTTGACACAAATCGACTTCGCGTAGACTTGCGGAGCACAGCTGATCCTTCAAGTTGGTGCTCCCGACGCGAAACTCAGCAAGGAATCTAAACCTGTAATCTGAACCTAAATGCTTAAGCGTTTTCGCAATTGTTTTTCCCGAAGGAGGTCTGTGCATCACGCTTCATGTACTCGTAAGCAGCAGTTTGCGACAAAGACTTCGCTGAATGCCCATTATGCGGTAAGTATGGACAAATTTGGTATCGAAAGGAAACTCAGGAAACTTTACACAAATCGGCTTTGATTTCTTGCCTGAGACAGAAATGTGTTCGGGCTGGTGGAGCATACGTTGGATAGTGTTGTTGAAAAAATTCAATTACTTCTAATTGATAAATTTGCGTTTATTGCTCTACTGCCAAAACGTATGAGAAGACCTAGTATTTCCTTATAGTGCAAACTGTTTTACTGTTTCTTCCTCGTAGTCAAATTTGCTATGTACAGGTGCTCGCTTGTGTTCATTGCTGGAAATATTTACAGTGAGTGAGGTGAGTAAGGCCTGCCTCATTCTGCTCACTTAGATTTGGCTACAAGAAGTTTTAAGTCAATAGTACGTAATACTGTATACATTACTCATCATTTTACTTGATTATGCACACTACATTATTACTACATCACCTCCGACTTTTCTACCCTTTCTCATGAAATGATGGGATGAACTCTAGCGTTCTAGAAACGGTGAAACTCACGAATATGTAGATTTGCCTCCATGTCATTATTAGGATATCAATGATTCAGCTCAGATGTTATTCATACCAAAATACGTGGGTGTACCATGCCGTCACTGAGCGATCGAATCTGGTGCGGGTAGCACAATGACCGTCCATTCCACCAAATTACCATTAATTTTCTTTAAAGAATTGTAACAGGTTTTCAAAACTTGAGATACTTGGTGTCTCGAACCGGTGAACGTTTGCGTATCTGTCCATCCTGTTGACAATGATCCAAATCTGTGGTGTACGCCTACTAGAGTGGAAATATTGGATCACGCAGAGGACATTGTGAAATGATGATATTCTGGTTTTGAAGCTGCTACATATAACATTTGAGAAAGCTGCGTTCTGAATAGGAACATACTGTCACTGCAGAGCTTTTATAACTGCATGATCAATCGTACTGTGCGATTCTCAAGTGCAGCAGCAATGTTCAATTTGGAAGCAAATTCGTGTTTAGCTAGTGCGCATGTGCAATGTGCTTTTGAGGCGTCGAAGTCCTCCTAGAAAGATGACACACCCACTCAACTTCGCGATTAAACTGTTCACAATTTTTCAGTGAGAAGGATTTGTTTGAAATTGGAAAACCAAGAAAAGGTTAGGTGCGAAGAGGGAGGCGTGGAGTGGGCAACGTGATACTTTCGCAGAAGGCGAGGGAGATAGAACAGCAAGGCTATTTTAAGGCAACTGTCTTTGCTATATGGTTTGCCTCGTCATTGTGAGTGGCAGGTGCTTCAGAGTGTCAGACTGCGAAGTACAGTGGGGGCTCAACTCTCCAGCAGGACCACTCAAGCTGAAGAGGAGTCTGACGTTTCGACATGGAAAGCGTAACTAAGAGTAAACCGTACCAGTAATGACCGTCCTTTTGGTAGCTATCAATCACAGAATGGTAATCTCCTTTTGATCCACAAAAGCCGGCGACTGCTCCAATGCAGTGACGACCAGTGGAAGTCCCGCCTAGGCTTCCTCAGGGAATTTGAGGAATAAAACAGTCAAACGACACACCTTTCCTGTGCTGGGTGCCAGCACCATCAGTGAGGACGGGCCTTTCAAGCAATCTAAGTAAGTTCTTTAAAGTTCAAATCGACTGTGTTTTGTAACTTTCAATAGACATTCAGTGTAGTCTGAGACTGTTCTGGGCTCTTTCGAGGTCGATATGTCAGCGGTTTACGTACGTTTCGGCAGTCTCACCCGCCTTATCAGCCACACGCCCAGCTAGTCACCCTTACTGATAAAAGGACGGAGAAACATGCTCGATTAGAACCACGTGAACTGTGCTTCTCACCTTTTCAGACAACATTTGAGCCAAACACTCCTCTGGTCGTCACTCCTATTGATAGTAAGAACGGAGAAACATGATGAGGTGGGGCGACACTGCGGAGTACTGTAAGTCTCTGACATGCAACCTCGGAAAGGCTCATAGCATTCTCTTAGACTACAAGTCATACTTAATTGCTCTCCCAGCGGGCTAAGACGCTGATCTCAAATGTAGAAAGTACGGATGTACTATGCAAGCCCTCATCAAAAAAGGAATGTAGAAAATATGGTCTTTCTAATCGATTTTGTTTATGCTCCTTATAAAGTAATGTGAAGTGCGCTATGTTCCGATGACCATTTTGTCTAGGTTGTTATTCCCAATATATTTAAGTAACCGTTCACATCTGAAGTTGACTAAACTCTGTTATGAACGTCTGATAATGTGCTGTGAAGGTGAGCAAGTTGTTGATTCAGTCAGGAGACGCACGTAATTATGATACGTATGGAGTGAACAGGTGCATAGCCCATGAAGAGCCGAATCAGAAAGAGCAGAAATTCTATTCAAGAACCCACGTCGGTTTCGCGATTCGAAAATATCCAAGAAACTGCTTTAGGAGGCCAAATGCAACTTGACTGAGCACTGTAACTTATGAACTGCCTTAAAATCAAGCCAACGCGCGGTCGTGAGAAATCCTGTATGTAGTCTTCTTCATCTTCAAGAAAAAAAAAACTTAAAAAATTCTTCAAGGAGAACAAAGAAGTTTCAAAGTGAACTAATCAAATGCATGTCTTTGTGAATAGGATGTAAATAAGAATTCGACAAATGCTTTCCATACGTAAATTCAAGCCTATGCGGCAAGTGTAGAAAAGCGAAGATTCCTGGGCAAAACACGGACTTAATCTAAGCGAATTTTCTAAAACTTTCCATCTATTAAAACCACCTTTGGACTATCAGGGTCTTACGAAATCAGCCATAGAAGTACAAAGCGTGTGATACTAGAAAGTCATGAAGGTAAACATCCGAAAAGATTTTTCAAACTATCTCGCTTATTACACTTCAGCGCAGGCTCATCTTTAAGTTTAATCTTATTTTTAAGCTCACATTTAAACTTAAGTTGATATAGGTTCAGTATCACTAAGCATCACTGTGAAATTTAATTGAGTAGTAGATAAACAGAAAATGTCTTTTTTGGCACATCGTTTTTTTTTTGCTGTACTGTAATTTTGGTCTCAACAGTGAACAACAGTACAACGCGGAGTTTCTCCATTCACAAATTGTGGATTCTCGATGTAGTTACACTTTGACACAAACGAAAATTATTTGGAACGCACCTGAAGGTTTTTAGGTACTCACTTGGGATCATCACTTCTTCGATCGAGCAGAAAAAGCTCATCATCTCTTCAAGTATATCTGCTTGCCGATGCAGTACTAATTTTAAAAGTTTTTCTTTTTTCCTTTTTTTTTTCAAAGCAGAGCCTTGTAAGTTCACTGCGACTTAGTCGGCCCAAAAGGTGAACAGCTGCTAAACCAACAGCAAGAGTCAGAGCACAAGAGAATATCATATCAGAGAAAGCAAAAGCAGTGGTTTCTAAGCAAACCGTTGAAATCGAACCACAACGGGACGACTTTGTCCTGTGTAACTGTAGCTATAAAGGAGATCTCAATGGAACGTTTGTTACCAGAAACATTCAGGCTTATACGCTAATAGATATTCAGTCTTGTGGACTTTCTAAAGACGAGACGAGGTGGCGCAGTGGCCAGTAATAAAACGCTCTGAAGGCAAGTCATAAGCGGAGTGCTTTTCCGTTACCCTCTCTAAAATTCTATTGCATTTACAGCAGC